GCTGGATCACAATTACTCCACAGGCAAATGGAAGGATAGGCGAAACCAAATACAGCCATTTACATTTCTTTCTAAAGTTAACAGTAGGTGCAGTAGGCCTAGTCACATTTCCAAACTTAACCTGTAAGTTAATGGTTATTAAAATATGCATTGGACAAGACATATATAGGACCAAAAAGAGCCAAAATGTTTTGTCATCTGGTTATTAAGTTGGCTCGGGGGCTAACGTTAATTTTTCTAGTCTATCTAATCACTTTCCATAGTAACACTGGTCTCTTCTTTATTCAACAGACATTCCAGGCAAGTCAAACCCTCCAAGCCTCTCTGTTTCTGCTTATCAAGATATCACACATCTGCTTTGTTTTGGCAATAGCACAACCAAAACACTGAATCTCAGAGTATTCAGTTCCCTCTGCACAAAATCCAGTTATCAGCATTGCCATTAGCTATTGCGGCTATTAGGGTATAAATTACCCGCTAGGCAATGGTTTGAGGTACAGGGAAGTCTATTATGGGAAAGGTGAACCTGAGACAGTGGGAGAGCTTAGATGAGAGAAGAGAATACAGAGTGGTGAGGGAGACAGACAGAGAGGCAGAGGGACAGGCAGAGGGAAGAGGAGGAGAGAGAGAGGAAGAGAGAGATGGTGGGGTACCAGGTGGTTTATATACTGAGCTCCTGGTGCAGATGATGACATAGGATGCAGGTGATGATAAGATATTGTCAGGACCCTAAAGGCCCTTTTTGAATTGCCTGCACAGCAACGTAACAGTGGGTCTGCTCCCCACTCACTCTCAAGTGGGAGAGTGCCATCGTGATAGCATGTGATGTCTGTGACTCTCTACCATGAGGATTTAGAAGACTGACTTTTATTTGCATGTATTCTTGTTTGGGGTTGGTAAGCATGCACGTACAGGTAGAGGCCAGAGAGTGACGTCAAATGTCTTTCTAAATTATGACCCACATTAGTTTTTGAGACAGGTTTTCTCACTGAATCCATAGATAATCTATTCAACTCTGTAAATGTTGTTTTTATTTTTTCAGATGAGGGGATGAGATGAGAGCCTTACCCAAGCTTTACTAATTCATGGCTTGAGCTGAGCACAGATAGTTTCTATCTAACTATTCCTAGGCCTAGGCCTGGAAGCTTCTAGCCTCCATACAATCTAATCTTCTACAAGTCCAGACCTGGAAGGCTTCAGCTTCCAGCCTCCATCTGCTAATGTAGAATGTTTCAGCCCCTGGGACTTACTGCTGAATAAACTCACCCTTTCCAGTTCTTTCTGCCCTCTGGCTGGCTGGTTCAACTCAGCTGCTTTAGTTCAAACTCCTCTCCAAGCTGACTGATTCAAGCTGATTCTCTTGTCTTCTGCGTGAAGTGCTCTGCCTGGAAAAACTGCTTCTGATCTCCACAAACTGAGCTGCAGTGACTGCACTGACTTCGAAAACTAACCAGAACTGCACACACTCAGCTGAACTCAACTGCATTCAACTGAACTGCACCAAACTTGATTCCACTCTCTCTCTCCCTGCACTGCCCTTAAGTAGCCTCTCCTTCCTGTCTGTTCTTATGAGAGTTGGGCATATCCTATCTCTGACTCATTCTGTCAGATCTTTCTCCGATTAGTCTACCCCTCAATTACTCTTCAGTGTTTGAGATTAAAGGTGTGTACTAAGGGCATTTCTGTATTCCAGTCAGAGGGATTAAAAGTATGTGGTGTATCTGCATTCCAGCCAGGTCACACTGACCTAGATGGTCTTTTAATGTGAGAGAGCCAGGGCAGAGCAGCCATGTTGCTTGGTTAAAATTTCTGTACACAACAAGACGGTTGGCCAGCAAGCCCAAGGGTCTGCCTCTCTCTGCCTCCCCAGCATTGAGATTGTAGGCATATGCTACTGCATTTTCTTTGACGTGGATGCATAGGTTTGAACTCTGGTCCCCCTGCTCGAATGGTAAACACTTTGCTCACAGAGTCATCTTTCCAGCCCTCATTTGTAATCTCTTGAAGATCCAATTTCATAATCTGCAAGGTTAGTGGAAAGACACACCTTATCCCCATGTGTGTCGAGAAAAAAGAAGAGAATCTTAATAAAGCATGTGACATCAGGTAAGTTTGGGTCCTCATAAGACCCCAATAGTCCAAGAAAGATTAATACATGCTCAGTATGTCTTTATACTGGGTTTGAGTTCTGTGAATTAGTCCTTGGAAGAATGAGAATATATTCAACTATGTAACACGTATGTTAACTAGACTGCCCATAAATGACTGCAGTTTTCACATACTGTGATCTGGAAAAGGAGACTCCATGGAGAGGCTCTGGGCAGCTACCGCGTGGGAAACGTAGAAGGGACTACAGGGATGGCAGCGCATGATCCGTCTTCAAGTTTCCAAAGCTTTCGGCATCAGAACCCAGCGTGATGGGGCACTCATAATCGCGGCAGGCAGCACTGGAACTGAGGCTGGAGGACCATGAGCTCCAGAATGCTGCAGACCGTGTGGGGGACACCGCCTAAATAAAGAAACACGTGATTTCTCAGCAAACATTTAGCTGAGCATGAGCAAAGGGGCTCGGGACGGTTATACAAATACAACTAGGATGTACCAGCCTATCATTATTTCCAATTTTTAATTTATTATTTATCACAATGTATTCACTTTGTATCCCAGCTGTGGCTCCCTTCCTCCACCTCCCAATCCCACCCTCCCTCCCTCTTCTCTTTACATGCCCCTCCCCTAGTCCACTGATACGGGAGGTCCTCTGTTCCCCTTAACTTGGAGAACCCACTTGGAGACTGAGTCTATGGGCTACATCTGTGCAGGGGTTTCAGGTTCTCTCCATGCATGGTCCTTGGTTGAGGCATCATTCTCTTCAGGGGCCCCAGGGCCCAGGTTTTTGTTTGTTTGGTTGCTTGGTTGGTTGGTTTGGGCTTTTTGTTGTTTTTTGTTTTGTTTTGTTTTGTTTTGTTTTGGGCACTGTTGGTCTCCTTTTGGAGCTCCTGTCACCTCCAACTCTTATTATTTTTTAAAGAAATATTACCAATAAAGAGAGAAAGCTGAAGTCGAACCATTTGATTCCATAGTAAAAACTGATCTTTAACAGAATTGTAATTCCAAGATATTAGAGATTGGTACCATTCCTCTTTCCAGCAGGACTCAGCAGTGAACTTACCCAGCCTTGCTGTTCACCCATCACGAACTGAGAAGCCTTTCTTCAGTCGAGCAAAGGCTTGCTGCTCACAGTAAAGGTGAATGGGGGCAAATCTGGCCTTCAGCGCTCAAGGATGACCTTCATTCCCCCGAAAGGCCGCACAGAACCACCCAGTCCCAAACAGAGCGGTGGACAGGCTCTCCGTGGTGGGGCGGCTGTGGGCATGCGTCCTTGCCGCCACTTCCAGGCTACGTTCATTGGCTAGTTAGGTCCCTCCACCTTCTCATTCCTAAAAGGAGATTACACTCTCAATCATAAAGACAACGTACACAGCACTTAAAGCGCTGCCAGGAGGGAAGTCGTTTCCAGCCAGCAGCAGCCCCTCCAGCCATGAGGAACTGTGCGTGTTCTAGAGCTGCACTCGCCGCTCTTAGATTACCCCAGAGTCTAACCACTACAGGCAGCGTCACTACCACGTCAGGTTGTTTCTCATGTAACTGTGGTTTAAGTTAGCACATAAAGTAATGTGTTTCTTCATGGTGGTTTTCTGCATACCTTCTTTCTGCTACTGGTTTTTATTTTACTTATCCTTCCCCACATCCTCTCTCCCATCCTCCCCTCTGCTCCCTCACCCACATTTGTACCTTGTTCTGACCTGTTTTCCTCTCTCACTATACCGTCTGCTTTCTAGACCCCTTCCTCCTCACTAGAAGACAACCTTCTGAGGTTGCACATCCATTTTCCCAAGTGATGTTCCCAAGTGTTAATCGTCTTTTATTTCTTCTTTTGAGAATAGTCTGTTCAGGAAACTGGGAGCTGGAGGTTAGTGTTTAATTTTCGCGGGTGCTCATGCCCGGCATATAAATCCTGTCTGATGTTGACTCAGGAAGAAAGCTCCCTCTTTCTGTGGGCTGTCTCGTCACTCTGGCCATGGTTTGCCTTGCTTTGTAGGAATCTTTTAATTTCATGTCATCAGATCTGTGGGTTTGAAATTTAGGTCCTATGTTAGCAGAGTTCTCTACAGAAAGTCCTTTTCTTGTGCCTATTCTTGTATTTATGGTTGTGAACCTAGCCTTTAATGGCTGAACCATCTCTCCAGCACTTTTGTGCCTAGTCTTGAAGTGTTTTTTTCCTGTTTTCTTCTTGCAGTCAAAGAGTTTCAGAGTTTGGGGGGGCTGTTTATTTGTTTGTTTTGTTTTGTTTTTCTGAGACAGGGTCTCCATGTAACCCTGGCTGTGCTGGAACTCACTACGTAGAGCAGGCTGGCTTCGAACTCAGAGACCTGCCTGCCTCTGCCCCCCAGGTGTTGGGATTATAGGTGTGCATTACCTCTGCCCAATGAGTTTCAAGTCTTATACTCTGAGGCATTTTGAACCTTGTTTTATATAACATGAAAGATGATAAATCAAGTTCTGCTCTTGTACATGTAGATAGCCAGTTTTCCCAGCACTGTTTATTTTAATTCTCCCTCAGTTATTTTTTATCTCCTTTGATATAACATTATTTCTTTAGTCATCAGCGAGGATACAAAATCACACACAGAGAGAAAAATAATCCCTCATATTAGTTGATCCTGGATATCTATTATTATGAATGGGGAAAGATGACCGTATAATCTGCCCACAGCTTATTACTGTGCTTGGGTGTATTTATGTCACTAAGGAAAACACAAGTAAGAGAATGTAATTTCATATTTTAGCCAACTTGTACTTTTGATGCACATAATTTTACTTTGCACCTTTAACGCTTATACTTATCATTTTCCAAATACGATATCTGAACTGAAGGAGGGACCTGAAGATGATGAAGGTGCAGCCAAAAACCGCCTACTCCTTTCTCTGCTGTTTTTCAGATACCCAAGGACTTCATGTATTGCCTCAGACCGCCGACTGGTCCTGTTTCCCTCCCCAACAATATCTGTTGACACTTGGGTTCAAAAACAAAGATGACGGGAAATTCTTGGAAAAGGTGTCAAGTAGGAAGCTGCCCACCTTCACAGGTGATTGGAACCTGACTGTACTACTCCCTTTCAAAATGGGGCCAACGCTGGGATCCTGTCACAACACCCAGCTTGTAGAAGGGCCTAGGTATCCAAAAATGCTTGGTTATAAGTTACTTCTAATTTTTCTAATTTTCTTTGTAGGCTGGTTAAAAAGAACCTCTGCTCAGATGTAGCCTGTGGTAGCTCAGTAACCAATTGGTTTCCCATAGTGAGGGGAACAAGGACTATCTCTAACAGGAACTCAATGACTGGCTCTTTGGCCTCCCCACCCCCCAAGGGAGGAGCAGTCCTGTTAGGCCACAGAGGAGAGCTTTGCAGCCAGTCCTGAAGATACCTGATAAAACAGGATCAGATGAATGGGGAGGAGGTCTCCCCTATCAGTGGACTTGGAAAGGGGCACGGTGGAGAGGAGGAGGGAGGGAGGGGCTGGGAGGGAAGGAGGGAGCAGGACAAGGCTGGGATACAGAGTTAATAAAATGTAACTGATAAGAAAAAAATAAAATTCAAAAAAAATTTAAAAAAAATACATGGAATTGTGATTTCAAGAGGACTTCCCCCACGAATACACTTACACTATCATGGAGTGCTTCCTAACTCATCCCTAGCATTCCACCGCCAACTCTACCACTATTGCTTGTCATAGCCATCAAGAACACAGGCTTTCTCATCTAGGAAAAGGATTAACAGTTAAAGCACTTGCCCTACAAGCCTGAGAACCAAAGTCCCAATTCCCAGCATCCTACAGAAATGCTTGGTAATTGTAGTCATGAAAGAGATGGGACCATCTGAGCAAGTTGGCAACCTATTGTGCACATACACACATACAAAAGCAAACAAAAAAACAGTCACATACAACACAACACATACACACACACACATGCACACTTGTACACAAAAAGTTTGCTCTGGAAAAAGAGAAAACAAAGAATATGGTCTTTTATCATTATTTAGCAAATATAAAAGAGATCAGCATCACTAGCACATGAAATTGAAATACAGGAATGACAACTCCAGGTCACCTGGACTAGCTGCTGGTGCTCTGACTTCTGTTCTATTCTCTCTCACATAATTGGATAAGAGCATAAATCTCCCGAAGAGCATATCATTTGATGGTGTTAAATAATTCTGGTTCCAGTTTTCAAGAAAATGCTTACATGGAGCTAAAATCTCAAACTTCCAGGCTAGCTTCACGACCAGATTGAACTGGTTCCTTGTACTGGAAGCACATAATTAAGAACTGTGTTTTGTTGGAAGCAGCACCCTCTGGGATTCCTCTCTGCCTCGAGCCACATTCAAAGTCATTGGCATCTGCACACTTGAACATCACCTGAGTGAAGCAAGGCAAGAATCACACATGTTTATGACAACGTCTTCTCACAATTCAAGACAAGCATACTCTGCTGAGATACACAAATTGTCACAAGTTGCCTCCTAGACCTCTCAACCAAGAAAATGAATACATGTCAGTTTCTAAAGGGTTATGGCTCCTCTGCCTCTGTCCCCGCAGATCTTTTATTGCTACACATACAGGCTAGGGATGGGACTAGTATCCATACTAAAGATTTTGTATCTGTTAATATTGAGATATCTGTTTATAGCTCACTAAAGAAAGCATTCTGAAATAGAATTCTGAAAAAATATAAAAATTTATTGTTACAATTTCTAGACCATAAAACTCCCTTCTCTCTGCTGACCAGAGAAGATACCGTGAGACACATGGAGATGGTGGGGAAGCGAATCCTGCCCATCCTGGACTTCATCCGAAGCACACAATTGAATGTGGGTATATCATGAGTCTTTTTCTTTTGTCCCATGTGTGAACATCAGAGATTTCCAGGAGTGTGAAACGCTGAAGGAGCAAACATTGCAGTGTTTTTGTTTGGTTTTGTTGGTCTGGTCTGGTTTGGTTTGGTTTGGTGTGCACAGAAAATCACATTCAAACAAATGTTAGCTAATGATTCCATTCCTTTTCCGTTCCCATCCATGTCCCAAAGCTACACTGGGGTCCTGAGTGTTTGTCAAACAAATGTCTCCTTGGAGAGCTTTCCTTCTCCGTGGCTTCCTACCACCTAATTCGAAGCCACTGTGAATTTTTTCATTTCCAATCAATAACAGAATGTTAGCAAGCACAGTGCTTTCCTGACTTCATTTACTGAGCCACTGACAACACTGCCTCATCATCTTACGCAGGAACTCAGAGCTCTGCCATCTCACGCCTGCACACCCAATCACCAGCCGGAGGCCACTCTGCACACTACTGCTCAACTGTGTATGGTCCTCAGATAAGTGACGTAATCTCTTTTCACAATCCAGGGAGAGGGTGCTCCTCCTTCTGTCCTACGCCCCAATATGCCCTAAATGTGACCCGAATTCCTTGATGCTCTTTTACAAACCTTACGTTACTGTACCGAAAATACATAGATAACCTTCTCAACAATATAGTATAAAGGCTGTGGAGTTCTTCTCTGTTAATATTTTCCAAAAATACTTCAGTTGGAATTTTAAAGAATCTTCTTCTTGTGGCTTTTGTATTGCACTTGATTGCATGTTCATAGGAGGAAAACCAAGGGGGTCGTCATGAGCAGCTACTTAACATCTGTTCACTTGCTCAGTAACATCAGCCAGCATTTTAGGAAAGCTATAAAATGTCTAATCTGATTGCATGATTTGTAATTATATATGTTACAGCTTTTTTTTTTTTTTCAAGTATTGTGTTAACTGACTTTCCTGCGGCACACCCCCTTCTCGCCACAACTGCGTTCCGCTCACTTACCTCCTCTATTTCTATTGAGGAGGAATCCATCTTGGTTCTACTTGGTTCAGGCTGTTGTGCTAAAGTGCCGTGGACCCAGCACTTTACAGTAGTTTTCTACAACCCTGTAGTAACTCAGTAACCCTGTAGAGCTCAGGCATCTATTCTTAAAAGGTCACTCATCCTCCCCACCCCCAAGACAGCCTGTTGTACTTTGCTCTCTGTTGCTGGGATTAACACCAAAAGCAACTTGGGGAGGAAAGGGCTTACACTTTCAGTTAACAGTCAGTCACTGAGGGAAGTCAGGAAAAGAAGTGAAGTCAGGCGGGATTGAAACAAAGCTGCCTACTGGCTTGTTCTGTGGCTCGCTCGCTCTCCCTCTCTCTCTCTCTCTCTCTCTCTCTCTCTCTCTCTCTGTCTCTGTCTCTCTCTCCTCTCTGATACATTCCCAGGAATACCACTCCTGATACGGCACAGCAAACAATGTCCTCACATCAGTTAACTGTTACAACAATTCCTCACAGATGTGGACACAGGCCAGTCTGAGCTAGACAGCCCCTCAACTGAGACTCTTTTCCTCCTGGGTGGCTCTTGGCTGTGCCAAGTTGTCAATTAAAACTGATCAGGACAAGGCCCCTCTCTCATAACCACATCTTGCCCTAATTACCTCACACACAGGCCTTGTCTCCAACCACAGTCACAGTGAAACTTGAGGTCAAACATGTGAGCTAGGAAGTGACACATTCAGTCTACAGTAGTCTCATTGAGTGGTGCTACAACATTTGAGTCTTATTCTGCAGTTTACCTTTTATCATAATCCCTTACACACACACAAACACAATCTTCCCATCTTAACTAACATCCAGACACATCATCACTGTCATCATCAAGGTCATTAAAGCAATAAAGTCTTCACTACAGAGAATCATCACATGAGCATAGGTTGATCTCTGCTGTGCTTGACTACACTGGCAGCCTGGGTATTAGGCGCCATGGAAGAGAGATGTCTGTGCTCTAAACCTTGTTACTTGGTTAGAAACTGATGACGTGATTTGCGGCAGGTTGGGCCTCCCTAAGTGTTAGGCACTTTTTTTCGGGGTCCATACCACTTTCCGTCTCCCCTCCCCAAGTATGTCCCGATTACAGAAAATGGATATAAAAGTGCCTTTATGGATCTAAAAGTGACACCTCCTAACCATAATTGCAGAGAGTTTTGGTATCCAATCAATGGGATCCTCTGCTGTGGAATCAGTCTCAGAATAATCCAGAAGTCTTGTTCTCTCTGTACATCTCATCTAGTTACAAGCAATGGCAACTTCCCTGTGTTTGCTTCTGTTGGAAATAACACTTTAGCAAGGCTATCTCAATGGGAGTAGAGTGAGTGAGCCTAAAGGTTCTCTGAGACAGTAGGTACTGGCTTCCAGTACAGAGGATCCCAAACACTGGTTTTCCGGTCTCATATTTACCCCACCACAGACTCTTCATAAAGCAGGACTGAGGAAAGCTGGCTGCAAAGGTAATTTAATGAAGCAAATAACGAGTTGGCGACTAAAAAATATTTCCTCCTGCCACCATTCACAAGCAGTCAGGGGTGTGCTGAAATTCTTCATGAGTATGTTTTTATCTACTAGATATCAAATGCCATGCATCTGAATCAGCACACACTGTTCTGTCCATGTGTTCACCCTGGTTTGTGACACCGCTAAGTGCAGGCATTTGCCCAGGGTAGATAAGCACTTCAGTTAGCACTCAGGTTCGTGGAGACATGAATTACTCGTGCTGGTTTAGCTTTTGTTTGTCAACAGGGCAGTTTCATGGCTCTTTCTTTTTCCTTGTACATCCCATGCACTTTAAGTTTTCTTCTAAAATGAGGAATAGAATCCCATACGTCTTAAATCCTTTTCTTTCAATTGCTGACTTGCTCAGCTTCCCACACACAGGCAGGACTTGTGTCCTCTCAAGCCACAGACCAGATCCGCTGCCCACAGAACCGTTGTTTGGTCTCAGGCCTGCAGCCTCAGCAACCACAGACTCTGACCATGACTTATATTAGCTCAAAACACGTATCAGTGTAAAGAACCCGGCCTCCAAGGCACAGCCACTCTAAGAGAGGGGCCAACACTTAGGGCAGCATATCTGTCCCGAAGAACCTTAAATTTGTCAGTCACTCTTAACACAGTGACTCGGACATGACTTTGCCTCTCCACTAAGGCCAAGCGCCATCTATTCGGGGCATCCATCTTTACATCGAATCCTAACAGCTAAGAAGGATACCTTTTGTCATAAATACTCGAAGATCTTCTTAAACTCACTTTGACAATGTTCCTTAATGTAAGTGGCTCTGGAGTATGAAAATAATATACATTATAGCTTTAACATTCATTACAATTCAGCAGACCCAAAGACAACATTAATCTCTGGCATAATACTATGACCAGAACCAGTTATATAATTTTAAGCATTATCACACTTACATTGTCACATAAATGATGATAAATGTGTGAATGTTTAAATAATACTTAGACAATGCCAAGGATTCTCATGATATTTTCCCTAAACATGCACAATATTAACCTATCTCATAAATAGGAGGTATATATACATCCAGCATCTTTAATTAGGAAAAAGGTAACATTACAGTACACTAAATTATGTTAATATAATAACATTGAATTATAATGTCATTGCAAATTTTTTAACTGCTTAATTTTAAATTTTTCTTCAGTGAAATAGAGGGTACATGTTCTGTTCTCCACAAAATAAATATATAAAAATAGGATAGCAATATACCTTCAACAGAAGCATATTAACTATAAAGTAAGCAGAACAACAATTCTAAAGCTTTTTCCTAAATCCCTGCACCTGTCATAATCAGGAAATGTTCTTAACCCAAACAGTTTTGCAGTGAGACAGAGAAGCCTGTTTATAAAACAGGTGCTGAATGCGGTGGAGCCTTGGCACAGAAATGCCTGTGTGACACTCTGCATGTGTGACTCTCTGCACGTGTGATGCTCTGCGGGTGCATCTCTCTCACATCATCTCAGTGAAGCCTCACCATTGCTTTTGTTTAAACAAGAGGAAACCGTTCATGGCTTGGAGTAATAGCACACATTCACACAGCTATAGGGTTAGAATTTTGGACATGAAAGAAGAACTAGAATAAGTGATCCCACCATTCTTTCATTTAGACATAATACATCCTTTTTAAATAACAACATGGGAATTCATTCCACCCTTGGAATCAATTGTTGTTTAACTTTTGAGATCCTTTTTAATTGATAGTAATCTTTAGTGCTACTAAACTCACAAATGTTAATTTTTATTGTCCAACCCTACTTATCTAAAGCACATAGCAAACGTAAAAATGTCAATTCTCTCCACATGTCAGTGACCATTCATCATGGTTTGGAAAATGCGGAGAATAGATTCCTTTTAAACTGCAAGCCAGCAGGTATTTCTTTACAGTTAACTTTAGAAAAAAAATCACTCAAAATAGTAATTAACAATAATCTTCTTTACTAGTAACTCACAAGGAAGCACCTTCAAAACTGTATTTTGTTAAAGTTTCTGTACTAAATTGTAGAAAAACTGAACTACACAACTATTGAAAAGTTTAATTTTCTTTATTTCTTATTCCTAGTACCACTACAAAAACTTACAGGGCAATAATATACCCAACACAGTGAAAAGAAAAAGCTACAGCTGATTAAAAAAAAAAACCTCAGGAACGCACATCTAGTTGACACTGCATTGCGTGAATCAAGAGCTGTGCTTTTTTTGCACACTGTGGCGATGATGGTCCTGAACAAGAAGCCTTCCTGTTTAGGCTGAGTAACTTTCCTGACTGTGAATCATCATTCCTTCTGTGGCTGATTTTTACATTTCCTCTAATACATTTGGGCCGACTGTCTCCCAGCAACCTGAAGCTTTTCTGACAACCCCTTGCTCTCCTCCTAAGAACGGTAGCCCTTTCCTGATGTTTTTAAAACCTTCTGGTACTGTACCTACCACTTCCACCACCAGATCAATAACCACCATCTTAGGGACTGTCAGAGTCCTCCACCAACATTGGCCTGCTTCGTGGGTCCTTATTTGATCACCATAGTCAACTATGATTTTCAAAGTCATTATAGTCCCCAGTACCACCATAGTTACTTCCACCAAAATATGTTTCTTCATTGTAACAATTGTGTTTTCCTCCTCCACCATGTTGGTTTTCGTATCTTGGTCCACCACCATCATAGCCTCCGCTTACACTGTCACCAGGACCAGCACCATAGCTGCCACCATCACCTCATGTTCATTATACCTACCATCACCACCTCCGCAACTACCTCTGCTGCCACCACGTCCACCACCTCCTCCTCTACCAAGTTTCCACCATGACCAAAATCACCCCCAGCACCTCCAAAGTTTCCTCCATGAGCCATAAAGTTGCCAGATCCACCTGCACGACCTCTCTGTGATCCAGCATCTCTTGCTTAGAAAGGGCCTTTTTCACTTCACAATTATGCCCACTAATAGTGTGGCATTTCTGAACAACAATTTTACCAACTGTGTCATGAACATTGAAAGTTACAAAAGCAAATCCTTTCTTTTTTCCTACTCTGCCTGTTTCCATCTTGCCATGCTTTTCTCAGTAGTCTCTGAGCTTACATTCCTCTGTATCTTCTTTAACACCACCAACAAAAATTTTCTTCACCGTCAAATGGACATGAGGCTTTACAGAATACTTTCTAGACTTGGCTCTCTTTGGTTCCACCACACGCCCATCCGCTTTGTGTGGCCAGGCACTCATTGCAGCATCCACCTCTTCAACACCAGAGTAGGTCACAAAACCAGAACCCCTGGAACATTTCATTTGGATCCCTCATTACCACACCGTCTGGAAGTGTGTGCTGGCCTGTGTCCTTCACGCAGGACGTCTGGACCAGCTACATCAGAGTCTTTGGGCAGAGTTTTACTAAACAGGCCTCCACCAATGGAAGTCCCATTTCTTAAAAATGTTCCTTTATGCAACCACTGGGTTTCAAAGCTCAGACCACCAACAAACAACTTCCTCAACTGTTCTGGCTCCTTCGGATCACGGCACAGATACCCGGAATTAACAGTAAAATTCTTGGAATGAGCACCGTAATACATATAAAAAATTAGATCAGAAAACTAACTGTGAAACACTCCAAGGCAACATGAAATTTAACCTCTTGCACGAGGTGATAGTCAACAAAGACAGTTGTCTTCTCTGGGCTGAAGGTAATTTCTTGTTTCGGACAGTGACATCCTTTCCACTACAACGAAGGCTTAGGTTATCTGTGTCCATAGATGACTTTCCTAGGCACACAATGAGTGGATAAAGGATGATTCTGATAATTTACAAGCCATAAACTAAAATATTCCAGTGTGTCCCTGGTAGCTTCTAATCCTGTCGAGTGTCAAACCCTCGCCTCCAGCATCCTTACTGTGAGGTTTTGTTGTTGCTGCTGCTGTTGTTTCTTTTTTTGTTGTTTTTTTATTCCTCCTTCTCATGATTTTAGTGCTAATGTCTTCAGTATCCCTGGATGTTGCTCTGCTTTTCCAGTCATTGACCTCACTGACTGTTGTCAGGCTTGGACCTTTACACTGCGCTCCCAGGCTAAATGCTCTTCAGAATTCAAATCATAAACTCTCTTGCCATAGAGAAGCTTTCTTCACGGCATGACTTACCGAAACTGACCTAACTAACCATGTTTTAATACCTCGTTAATTTTACTTTTTATTTCTTCCGGACAGAGCATTTCACATATGCATATTTGAAGTGAACAATGGTACATGCTTCCTACCCACTCTCTGTTTGCAAGCAATGTTTCTATATGTTATGCCAAATGGAAATACACTCCAAACATTGGACTCTGCCTTTCGTAGCATTATACAGCGCACTTATTTACTCAGCATTTATCGATAATTGCTACTAAATCCAGGCGATTCTCTGCCAGAAGCCTTCATTGGAACTTGCTATTTGCCTAACCTTCATTGCACCCAGGTGAGGTTTTAGCTTCAATCTTGGCCACTTTATTACCCTCTCTCGAGAAGCTAAGGGGCCATTTGATCGCTCCTAAGGTCTCACAGAGAGCACCAAATCCCTTTGCTAGCACTAATTCCTTCGTTTTCCACTATTTCCTTGATTTTCCTTAAAGCAGCCACATTAAAACACCCCTGCTGACATCAGATATTGATGACCATCTCTTTCCACTCAGTCTTTCAAAAGCCCTCATCCTGCATACATACAGCATTGATCTATAGCTTCCTGGTGGCCAGAATTGCATTTGGTTGTGGGGAAGGGTGGGGTGAGCGACTATTAGCAGACACGTAGGTGCCTTCCCTGGGATCTCATTCATATGGAGCACTTCCTATTTTGTTATGCATCCAGCAATCAGGCTAACAAAGCACTGATGCCTCCGACTATTTTTGTTTTCCTGATGTTTTGGAAAATTACACTAATAGATTATGTTCCCGAGCAAGCTGCAGTCGATTCTGCTCTCTGAAGCTGAGTCACTACAGACGTTCCCTACAACTAGCCCCATTGTTTCCTTTAAGAAGGACAAAGAAAGCAATTGTTCTTCAGAAAGAAAACTGTTTCTCCTTCAACTTGCTTTTTCTCTGCTTGACAAAATGGCATTGTTCAGGGACATGCTGCAAAGAGCTAGCTGTTTCTCTGGTTCAGCAAAGGATCTCAAACCCACCATTTGAAATCATCACTCCTAGAAACTCACAGATTTTCTTATAAATAACTAACCAGAAACAATAAATAAAAATGGAAGACGTCACTTGGACAATACAAGCAGCTCTCGGGGAGAAATAAAGCCAAAAGAAGTCAGGCCTGCCTAACCTTCCTTAATTTCCCAGGTTCTGAGGAAATGCCAGCTTCTCGGGCCTCCTGTCAGTCACAATGCTGACGTGACATTTCAGAGCATCGCCTTCCAATTTCAAGTTGAAGTTCAGATGATCTCTCAGTCAGGCTCATTTCTAACTTTTTTTCTTTACAGGAAAATTTTTTTTTTTTTAGGAAGAGAACGTGGGTCTCACACCATTTGATACAAATTCCCACACTAAGATAGTCCCCAACAGATACTGAGCTGAAGGAAATGGTGTCATCTACAGTCCTGTTGGCTGTGTCCTGTCTGGACATTCCGGCAGGCACCTATATAATCCTTACTTTTAGGACTACGCAACAAATCGAAGGATTCACCGAGAGAAGTGACTCACTACTAACTGCCTGCTTAGTACGCATGCCCAAAGACTCTGATGTAGCTGGTCCAGAAGTCCTGTGTGAAGGACACTGGCTGCCCCCAGCCTTGATCCTCTGAGCACTCATTGCCAGACACCCGCAGAATCTAACAAACAGTCAAGGTTTTGAAATTTGACCATGATGTGACTCCCCTACACCCCGTCTCACAAGCCCCCCACCACCGGGTATAGCTTTCTTGAAGAGAAACCTGGGGATCTTATTATAAGCTCTATCTCTGCGTTACAATCTGTACTTGACTTTGTGGAGGAGGTGATGACTTCTCCACTGAGCTGGGCAGTAGCAAATACACAGGAGGGCCACCCTGTCCCTAGCTGCCTCATCTTCCCGTATACTCATGAGGGAAAGAACTCTACAGCTGCACAGTCTGTCACGAGATGGATTGTGTAGGCTGTTGCAGTAACCCGAGGAGCTAGAGTGACTCCTGTAAGAACAGGGCGAGTGTAAAAGCCACCCGAGGGAGAACTACGAATGAGGGCAGAGCTGGTTGTGCAGCTTGCATAAAAAATTGTCTTTGACATAAAAAGATAAACTCTTTAGTTGGTATGACGCTTTGATAATGTAAATAAAGTCACCCTTAGGAGATCGCAGGCCTGTGAGGACAAGCAGGGGAGCCCAGGTGAAATTTCAATCCTGATTTTTCACAGTGGCCTGCATCCCCAAGGAAGGGCAACTGGAGAAGCCATCCCAACAGCCCTGCTAAGAGCTGCCTTTCATATATATCCGCCTTCTTGAGAAAATGTGGATACCATTTCTAAACCAATAGAAGAAAACAGCTTCTTCTGGATCCTGTTGCTTTGAAAAGATGTAAATGACTCAGGTCTGATGGTACATGCCTTTAATCCCAGCAGAGATAGATGGAGCTCTGTGAATTCAAGGCCAGCCTCGTCAACGTAGAGAATTCAGGCCATCCAGAGCTACATGATGATACTCAGTATAGCTATATGGTAGACACATCCAAGATAGATAGATAGATAGATAGATAGATAGATAGATAGATAGATAGATGAGTATTTTGCCCTGCCATGATTGACTTCAGTCCTAGAGGTCTGTTTCTATGCTCTCGTTCTGAGACACCCCTTTTTCACTGTGAGACCAGGGGAACTTCCATGCGTGCTCAGGTGTGATGGAAAAGCTGCACTACGCCAACCTCCTCAGCCAGCTTCAGAGAGTGAAGGAGCAGGCCCAGGTGATCAATCAAGCAATGGCAGAGCTGGCAACCGTCCCTTATCTCCAGGACATCAGTCAACAGGAGGCAGAATTGGTAAGTATTTGTTTCCCTTTGTTTAAGCTTTCACAGGCCCTGAGCCAACAGAAGACTGATGGGGGCTGAGAAGGCTTGCGGTAATAAATGTAGTCTGAAGGGAGACGCCAGCCCTCATCCAGCATTCAAATGAGGACACTGGAAGATAGGAGTGATCTGGATCTATTTGACTACTTTCCCTTTTCTTGCCTTCTTTTTTCTTTCTTTCTTCCTTCCTTCCTTTCTTTCTTTCTTTCCTTCTTTCTTCTCTCTTTTTTTGTGTATATAGCAAGAAACTTGTAATGTGTAAAAACATAGGAAAGGGCTAAAAATTCATATTATGTATACAGCTTTTCACTTAAATTAAAATGAAAGTGGGGAGGATGTAGGCCAGAGGACAACCTTAGCTGTCTCTTGCCTTTGCTCGGGCACTTACCACCATTTGTTTGTTAAACAGGATTTCTCATGCTCTAGAGCTTACTAAGTAGGGTAGGCTGATCTAGCCATGGACCACAGGGATTTGCCTGTCTCTGCTTTCCCAGCTCAGAGGCAACAGCAAAGATCACCATGCTGAGCGGTTTCCTTTCTTTGACTTGGTTTTTAAGGATCAAGTTCAAATCCCCAGGACAAAGCACTTTACCAACTGAGCCATCTCTCCCACCTCACTGAAGTTCTAATCATGTTTTCTGAAACCCCAAGGTCATCTCAGGTCCTCTTCCATGAAAAAAAAAAAAAGGCAGAGGGAAAAACATATACCTGTAGAGAAACCCCACCCTACAAAATGGCCTTTAGTGTGTCACCTCCAGCATTAGTATATACAGTGGAAGCAGCAGCACACACACAGTGATACACTCAAGAAAAGTTTGTTTGAGAGAAACGTGTGTGTGTGTGTGTGTGTGTGTGTGTGTGTGTATGCTTTAACAACATGTTCGGAAAGCCAGCCATTTTGTTCTTATACAGACCCAGTCCAAAAGTTATTTAAAGGAATAGCTTAGAAACAATCTTCAAACAGATGTGTGTATTATAATCATAATTAATATTAGAAATCATACCACCTCATTTGAAAAGTAATTATTGAACAGTGTGCTGCCCATTCAAGGTGAAGGTCTGGAGAGCCTAATGCGTCGTAGGGAAGGGCTCTTTACTTTGAAGCTTTAATTGAGATTAGCTAAAACTAATTATAGACTTGAATTGAATTCACAGCACAAGAATGAGGACAGCCCAAAATGATTACCTGTAATCTTCAGCTAACTAAAGGAGCCCTCCCTCTTGAGCTTTTACAGATGTAATGAAGAAATGAGCTTCTAGTATTTATAATATTGATCTAGACTTTTTTAAATTGTATTAAATAAATGCTGACGTTCAGTGTAAACATATGAAACACCCTGCCTAGCCCAGTAATAATGCCGTGCATACTAAAGATGAATCCCATGAAACAAGCCTGGTTTTCAAGGAATGTGTAAGTCAAACCTGGTGATAATACTGTCTGACCCATTACGGAGGTCTGCAGAACACCCTTTAAAAGGCTGTGTGCTCATCCTGCCTTTCGGGAGGCATTCAACATTGTGGTAAGTGTGAGGCTTTCAAAGGGCATATTACAACCAATTTTAGATGATTAATGCTTCTCTAAGATAAGAGAAGCAAAGAAAATATTTAATTTGGGAAGAAAAATGTTGCTCCTGTCTTCCTGAAAAGCACATTCAAGACTTAAATGAAAAAATAAAGAGGAATTTTCTGCTTTACGTCTCCTGAGTCACACACCTGTGAGGATTCCCTACCCTAGAAATGCTTAGTTTTCAAAATATGCACCAAAAAACCCTCAAAACCAACATCGTTAACATATCTTTCCAGTACACAACTTTTTTCAGTAGCTTATACTTTCTAAAATGGGACTTCATGGAATATTTTCATACTTTATATGCCCCCAAAATTTAGAAAGATAGATAAATGACTAAATAGTAGGTAGACAGATAGACAGATGGGTACATGATAGATAGACATGTAGACAAATATGTAAAACCCCACCTTTTGAACAACCTGTATCTTCCATCACTTTACACAGTAAGTTTTAATTTCCAGCTTCCACATATCTGTCAACCTTAAAAAGTAAATCTCAACTTGACCTTGTAGGGCATCGTGAAAACAGTAGTTACTCAACAGAGGCCTCTTGAGTGGCTCTGCTCTCTGCCTTCCTGATCAAGCTCTTTGGCACTAGAGAGATTATCCACAGGTTAAACTTTCAGAATCCCACGTTCTAACTCAGTTCACACATCCCGCAATTGGGCCTCAGTATCCCGCTCAGTGGAACTTTAAACGCAGAATCCTCCTGCCTCAGCCTCTCCACTGCTATGATTGTGCTTTAACTTTTTTGTTCATTTCTTCTGAGACAAAGTCTCACGTAGTAGAGAAACTCACCACTACTTGAGGCTGGTCTCGAGCTCCTGATCCTCCCGCTTCCTCCTATCAAGTTCTGGGATGGCAGGAATGCACCACCACTCCCAGCCTATCATATTGTTTTCAATTGGAATGTAACAAGTGGTTTTTGGTAGGTAAAATGTGCTGTTTAAAAGGGACATTAAAAAAAAAGAAGAAGAAGAAAAACAGTTATTTCAAAATTTTAACAATAATAAAAGAGTTTAAATGAACGAGATTGTTTTAAGAGGCAATAGAACAGCACAGTTTGAGTACTGTCCTCTGGAGGGCTGTTTCCTGATGCCAAGAATTATGATACATTAGCCTCAGGAGAAAATACTAAAACACATTCATGTACTCCATGCCATTTCCTGAGAGAATTAACTGCTGCCGTCACTCTCTACAGCCCAAATCTGCTTTTAGCGAAACACCAACACTTACTAAATTAAAGCCTATATGTTTCCTACAAATTTTGAGGAACAATCTTCCCATTGTTTCAGTATTTTATGTGTGCAGCAATACTCACTAGTGACTGGAGGAGAGTCGAGGTGGCAGTGTTCATTGTGGAAAATATGAGTAATAAAATCATCAGCATACAAATGATTTTTTAATTAGGTTTTAATCTGTGTATTTAGAGAAGTTATTTCTGTGTGAATTCCATGCTGATAATTTTTATCTTGGTATCACAGCTGCAGTCACTAATGGCAGACGCCATGGACACCCTTGAAGGAAGAAAGAGTGATAAAGAACGTGTGTGGAATACAATCCAAAAGGTAAAACTCTGAGCTGAAGGAAAAATATATCTTATCCTCACAGAAAATGTCCACCTTGGGTCAAATCTGTTTAGAAGATAAAAAAGAAATGAAAGAAGTCCCTGGGGTTGTTTTCTTGGTCCGCTTTCTCTGTGAACTGAATGCAGCAGAAAGAGCTAGAAACACCCAAAACCAATGATGGGCTTGTTTAATCTGTTCGCATGCACTGTCGTTAGAGTACCGTACTTTCTGAGCACGCCGTTTACGCTTTCTGCTTAAATGAGCAGTTCTTCGTTATTTATAAATATAGCTATATTTATTATACTTACATCACATATTAAAATAAGAAATATATTTATATTATATATATATCTGATATATATATATATATATATATATATATATATATATATATATATTTGCTGTATATGTATGCATATACGTTTCTATGCAGCTCTGGCTGTCCCGGAACTCACTCTATAGACCAGGCTGGCTTCCAACTTAGAGCCTGGCCTGCCTCTGCCTCCCAAGGGTTGGAATTGAAGGCATGTACCACCACTGCCTGATGTGTAATGATAATTTTAAAAACCCATTTTCTTAGAATTTTCATTGATTCCTCGACTCCTTATTTGTCTTTTGTTTTGTATTTTTGTTTTTGTTGTTGTCATTCACGTGGGAAACAATGACTACATCCCATGTCAAGCTCCAGAATCTTGCACATTGGTGGTTTTGATGGCGGAGAAGCATAATGACTACTTGGTGATACTCAGGGTAGCATTTACAAAGAAGGACCTGACCCCAGGTACTCAGGCGACTTGTGTGGCAGTTAGGACTGTCTGAAAATGTAAGGGTTGGTAATGCTAGGACTCCAGTTCATCTCTGGGTAATTTATTTGTCATTGGTTTAGCACCCATTCAGTGTCCTCCCATCCCTTTGCGGGATCCTGAAATCAGGAAACATAAAAGAAACAAAGTAAAGAAGGTATTGATCTGAAAGGCAACACCTAGCCAGGAAGGTCTCAGGTGATCCTGTATCTGAAATCAACTTAAAACTACACAAAGCCTTGCTGAAGAGATGGCTCAGAGGTTAAGAGCATTGGCTATTCTTCCAAAGGTCATGAGTTCAATTCCAAGCAACCACATGGTGGCTCACAACCATCTATAATGAGATCTGGTGCCCTCTTCTAATGTGCAGGTGTACATGCAGACAGAACATTGTACACATAATTTTAAAAACTAAGTTTTGTATACCTAGAGAACAACATCAACAGAGTTTGGAGTTACTCGAGTGTCCATTATAACAGAAAGGGTACTGTGTAACGGGGATACCCTGGTGAAAAGAAGCAGCATGGCTATATGAAAGGCTATGAACAAGCTGCTTTCATCACCTGTGGAAACAGATGAGAACATCCTGGCACAAGGGATCAGAAAACCATGTCTGTGAATGTGGTATTGTTGCAGCATTTAAATATCAATGCTCATTAACCGAGTGAAAGGGAGACTGGAAGGTGGGAAGATACCTTAATTGGTAAAGTGCTTGAGCATGTGGACATGAGTTTAATTCATGGGTCCCACATTTAAAAAATAAATAAAAAAACAAAGCCATTTGTTAGGGTGAACACTTGTCATCCCAAGGCAGGGGAGGTGGAGACAGGAAAATCTCTGGGACTCAGTGGCCAGCCAATCTAGCTGGCTTAGTGAGCTTCACCCAGAGAAAAACCCTGTCTCCAAAATAGGTGGATGGCACCTGAAAAATGACACCCCAGGTTGTCCTCTGTCTTCCATATGCCTACACACACACACACACACACACACACACACACACACACACACACACA